GTTGGGTTTCTGGTGACTGAGGCGATTGAAGATACAGGGCATGATGGATTCTCCTGTTGGTCTTTCAGGGGGAGGTAGAAAATTCCTGAAAATTATAGCCTCCTGTGAGGAGAAGGAGGCCCGCCTACCAGGGAGGTCAGCCTTGTGTTAAGAGTCTAAGTGAAGATAGAGGTCAGCACGGGCCTAAGCAATAGAGTTCTCCACCTGGTCAAATGTCAGATTATTACTATTATTAAAGTTTTTATAACTAATAACAAAAGGAGAGATTAACATAACACTTAGATAATCTTTGACTGAGTGTATCAGAGGTCAGGGAGACAGAATGAAAACACCCACTTTCAAGGGTAAATAACTTGAAAAGTTATTTGCCTTGTCTTCTTTTCAAAACTCCTTTTCTGCTTTTCACTGGCTTTGTTAGAAGGTTTGTATTAAAGAGAAGACTGTCATGGTTCTCGTCTTCTCTTCCAAGCACATCTCCCTGAGTTCGAGTTTTTGATGGCACTTAACCATGGTTGATGCAGTGCAGACCTCTGCTTTGGAGGGCAGGCTTGATAGAATTCTGGGAAAAGAAGTACAACTGCTATAATTCTTCCAAACCCCAAACTCCTTCAGCCAAGGAGACCCTCTTCATTAACATTCTCCATTTAAACCTGGTTCCAACACTTAATTGCTCTACAATTCACTGGGCCTCCCATTGTATTGACAGGACCAGGTACTGAAGTCTGAATCTTTCCTCATTTTATTCCTTTTGAAAACTTCCACATAAGATGTCATTCACGAGCAAAACCCTATTGATAAAGTGCCAAGTAAAAATTTTTTTATCATTTTACTTTTACAAAAGTATTCATAAAATTAGCTTCACTCCATATGATTTTGAAGTTGAAAAGAAGAGCTCTTTTAGGCCATGAGGGCTTTTGATGATCCTGATTTTTGTAAAAAGCCAAACATTATAACCATGGTCCTTAGACTGCAAAGCAGAGAGGTCTGTTGGAACAGTGAACTCATGAGGGAAGGCTCCTTTTCATCCAGAACCTTTTTCTGACCCTTCAAGAGAAAGAACATTCTCTGTCATGTATCCTTGTGGGCCAGCCTGTCCCTAAAGTCTGCCCCAGAGAGACACCCCACGCCACCCCCGCCTTACCCCCTCCTACCCCGGTCACTAGAATTCAACACACTACAAACCTTTAAAGTCAGGAATCTGTCATCTTCACTTTAAATCAGCTGAACCCAAGCCATGGGAGCCATATTTGCATTCTGAAGTGTTTTCTGGTTTTGACACTATAAGGTCTAATTTTTCTGTTAATGATTCCTTGCACTTTCAACATAGTTATAACTTTAACACAGGATGCAGTTGAGGTTAGAAATGGTCTAAATTACTTTTGCTTTGGGGAGAGAAATTTCCACGAGAGCGACTATGAAAGGAAATTATGGAATAACACAATTTCATGAAATGAACAGAAAAAAAAATCCCATTGATTTACATAATATTTTAAGTGTTGACATTTATCAAGTAGCTCCTGTGTATCAAACATTCTTGGAGCATTTGCTCCTTTCCCTGCCAATAGCACTTACTCTTTTTTTCTCCTCTTTGTCTCTTCCTCCCTCTGATTATTCCTCTCCTCTGCCCCATACCCTGACCCACTCATGATTTTCTGAACAAACTCTTGTGCCTGATGGAGTAGAGCTAGGAGAGCAAAGAAGCTCTGCAGCCCTGGGCAGTGGAGCACGCTGTCAGGTTGCTCACTCAGAGGTCCAGAAAGATGCGGTGCTCACTGGATTTGATATTAGGCTTCGGTGCCCTTTCCCAAAGCATCTTTGTGTGTGGGAGCTAGAGAGGAAACTAGATTTGGATATGTTGGGAATTGAAATAAGATGAATAATTTGAAGGTATAAATTATTTTTATGAAATCTTAGGTTCTAAAAAGGAAGCAGTACTAAGAAAGTCAAGGAACTTCTAAGGAAAGTTATTTGCAAAGATGCAAGACAAATATAAACACTGGCCAGTGGGGATAGAGAGGCTGAAGGCACAGGAGAGTTTATTTTATGGGTTGACGAGGGCTGCATTGATATTAACAAGAAGGCTACTTTCAAATATTTTGTTACACCAAATTGTCACCTCCTTTATTTCTCATCATTTCCCCGTTGTAGAAAAGGAAAATCTTCCTCTACTCTCTCTAATTCAGTAGCTAGGGCCTACAAATTAATCTGACAAAAGACAGATTAACTGGAGAACGGGTTTATTTTGAATACACAACAGACCTCACAGAAAAGAAGTGAAAGATTTTTTACATACCATTTTAACAAAAGGCAATAAATTAGGGAGAGGTGATAAGGCAAAGGAAAAGGGGTTTGAGCTCCTCGAGGGGGTATTGCGGGAAGGTAAATACACAGGGGAAACTAGTGGAAGATAAGGGTTCTTATACTGAGGTTTGTTTGTGCAGAGTCGCCTCTGTGCCATCTTTCTCCAGTGACACGCTTTCTTTCTGGTATGGGAGGGGGGGACAGACACCTTCACAAAGGGAAATTTATGCCCTGCTTCTGGGCAGAAAGGGGAGGGCAGAGTTCTTTTGTGCCTGCTGTTTCTCACTTGCTTTTTCATTGCAAAATAATACAATGTCAAAGTGGCATATTTTGAGGTGGCATGTTCCGATCCCCTTCATTGTGAACCAGATAAATGGCAGTGCCCCCATTATACAGAGGAGGAAATTTAATCAAGTATCTTCCCTAAGGACTCATAGCTTCTCCGGGATGGAACTGGGATTTGAACTGGTATCTGTCCAATTACGAAGGTTATTGCCTTTCTGCTCTAACAGGTTGTGCAGGCTTCTGTATAGCAGTATGTTCTCAACAAACATTTTGTGAACTCCAAGAAATCAAGTGGGTCATTGCTCTCACATGAATTATGTCCTGGTAATTAGAGACAGGGTCCGCGCTCCACTTTCTGATCAAGAGCATAATGAACTGAGTTCCAGTGTTTTACAAGGTGCAGTCATTCAGTCTAACTCTGGATATTAACAACAGCTGTCAACTTAGTGATTGTCGTGGACGTAGCTACAGTACACTAAGATGCCACGTACACAAAAATTAGCTCACAATCCCAAAGTTTTATAGGGAGCTTGTTGAATTCAGAGATGAATGATGTGGCATTGAGAAAAGTCATGGCAAAATTACTCAATATCCTATGCTTTTTTACGATTTAATTGCTGCCTACTTCCAGACTGAATTGAACTCTCAAAGGCATTTTCTTTTCACAGCCACAAAATGCATTTCAATATACAGCAAATAACAGGTAGCCCTGGGGGTTTTTGAGTGAAACACAATGAAGAGAATCAGTTGAGTTTTTATTGTCTGTTGATAAACACTTTGCACATTATTTCAGCCGGTTCTAATTGGATTTATTTTTAAACTTGGTCTCTGTAAATTGTACTGACAGTAAACAATAAAATCAGATGATTATTCTAATACAGAAAACATAAATACACCAAAACTGCTTGTTCTGCCTTGTCCTGGCCTTTTAGCACCTTGGCTGAACCAGGAATATAGCAAAATGCTACTCAAAGAAAGAAACAGCAGTTGCCATGCTGACTACATAGTATAAAATGTTTTCAGGTCAAATCCTCAGTTACAATATGAGAAAGCTTTATTGTTTTTCAGAATTAAATCAGGGTGCAAACTACTCCAATTACAGTCTGGAACACATCGGAAACGTGAAAATCCTTCTAACATACTTGCATCTCCTCCTTTCCCACCGATACTGCGCTGGTCTCCTCCAAAGAACTGTAGGTGCTTTAGCGATGATGTCAGTGTCTCATCTCACTAAGATATTTTTATCAGTCAATGGTATTTTGCTCTGAAACTTGAGACGTGAGCTCAGTGCCTGGCTCCTTCCTCTTCTGGGCTGGGAGGGACTTGAGGAGCTGCAGGCACTGTGTCCTGTTCTGTGTGTGCTCCTAGGACCCGGCACATGGCAGATCCTGACAAAGGGACATTCCACGGTAGGTCTCACGTTCTTTTGTACACAGCGTTGCACCTTCACATTCTTTTAGTTCTCTATCCAAATAACAGCAATTCATGAACATGCCAGAACTTATAAATGTTCGTTGGTGGTGGTGATTTGCTCATGGAAAGGGGAGGGCCCCAAGGGATCTAAATTCCTTGTTCCTTTTCATTTGAGAAGCACATCAAGATTAACAGGGACATGTCATCTCTTCAGAGCATGCAGTTGGGGCTTTAGAAGGGAAGTGTCTGGTCCTTCTGGGGGTGCTGCTGTAGGCAAAGACGGCAGGCTTTTTTTTTCTTTGACTTGGGTCTTAGGGATAAAGGGGTAATTTGAGGAAATAACACAGGAGGGTGTTGGATGTTCCAGGCTCCCTTTTGAAGCTGACATCCCTGAGAGAACTGTCCTGGTGTTAAATAGCCATAAATTGGGGTGGGTTTCACATAATTGTTACCTTCCTTACAGGTATCTGAAGTCTATTCGGAAATGTTGGTATGAACCTGTTGCCTCTGTCTTATTGATGCCGTTTGGTTTATTTTTAAGAATAAAATGAAACTCAGTAGCCGGTCCTACTGAAGAGTAATCCTGTTGAAGAATAATCGGTGGCTCTTTGGAAGCCGTAGGCAGGGCTCCACAGGAGCTGAGCCAGGCTGTTGAGGGCAGGACATTGTGGACATCGCTCTTTCACAGGGTTACCAGGTGTCAGAGCCAACTCAACGACACATAACACACACCCACTGGAAGAAATGGTTCGGTTTTTGCGCAACTAGCAAGGATAGAGTCTGTCATTCCCACTCACCAGCAGTGGGATTGGATTGGACCACCCTTTTTCTCCCATTGATGGCCAGCCTGCAAAATTCCTACCCAACGTCTTCACAGCCCTTTCCCTAAAGGAGAGGTAGAGCAAATGCTTCTCGCATCAGCAGGGTGATTTTCAAAACATCCTTGTGTTAGCAGGAATGACTACGATGCAAGTTTATTGTGGTTCTTTTTTTCCCAACAGGTTCTTAGCATGATAATCAATGCAGCTTACAAGCCTGGGAGAGTATTGAGGGAATTACAACTGGTGGAAGATCCTCATTGGAATTTCCAGGAGGAGACGCTGAAGGCAAAGTAAGTGTTTTCAATTCTGGAAAACAGGGTTCTTGTAATACTTGGTCTGCTCCTGTGAAACTTGTTGTTCCTCCTTTGGACAGAGAAATGGAAGCAAAAGAACTGGCTGTCGTTGTGCAGTTCTGGGTGTTCTACCCCGAATATTGGCATTTTGCTCTACAGAGTTGGCTGGAGCCTTAGGATTCCTAAAGTGAACTAGAGAGTTGCTCACCTAATACTGAGTGTTAGACATTCAGAATTAAGACATGCTGTGGTCAGGTCTAATAGATTATTTGATCAAAAGGGGACATTGTTATAAAAGAAAGGATCTCATTTATCAATATTATACATTATTTACTAGCAGCTCTTACTTAATACTTGATACTGTAAAGGGTTTAATTAAGCCAGATCCAAACATTCTTTACTTTGAGAGTTGATAGTTTTTAAAAGATAAAAAGAAAACATCCCAGTTTGGTTTTGATGAATGAGCTGCGGGTGAACGTGCAGTTCCTCGTTTGTTCCTTTGTTTGGAAATAGGCTAACTAGAAAGGTGCTAATTTTGCTTTGCTTTAAGTTTCTTGAACTCTGAAACTGAGAGCACCAACTGGATCAATAGGCTAGAACTCAGTTGCTTAGGAAACAGACAGAAAAAGATCCATTTCTTGTGATAAATTTATGTTTAATAATTGCTTGGGTGTTTTGAGAGGGCTTTTAATATTTAGTTAGGTTTTTCAAATAGAATAGATCTTAATGGTCAGCTTCTTATATAAGTGAACTAACATACCGTTTAGATTTAACACTTGGGAAATGATGCTGTTTGAAAGAGTGAACTAATTTTTAATAGCTAACATATGTATAGATAAGCCCTTCTTTAAAGAAAGTACCTACCTTATTCATAGTGAACATTGAGGAATACTAAATAATTTGTATAAGCAGTAATTATTTGCTCTGTAATTAACTTATACTGGTACTGAGTAGAGTTGTTGAGATACTGCAATTTCCTTCAACATTTCTGTCAGTTATCCAATCAGCATTGTCTAGTGTCTTTTTTGAACATCTCCATGATTTTAGATTCAGTAAAAGTCACTTAGGGTCTAATAATACGTTACCAAATCACAAAAGGTAAAGGGAATATACAAGAAAGGACGCCCCAAAAACCCTAATTATCTTCTGGAGGGCAGGCTTCCCCCTATACCGCCCCCCCACTAGGTGAGTGTTCCAGGAGCCCATCTGTATCAGTGCACCAGCTGGCGTTGTTGTGAGAGGCTGCATTTGGTGTCAATGAATTATTTTTGAAGATTCTTTCAATGTGTTGGCCCATTTCATGATGGGTGATTTACGAGCGCACCTGCCCACTCTGCGCTGAGTGTTCAGCGGATTTGATCAAAAACAACATGACCCTCATGCCCCACCCTCCTCTTCACCCGATCTTGCCCCAAGTGACTTTTTCATGTTTCCCTGGATGAAAAAAGTCCTCAAGGGGAAATGTTTTGGCAAAGTGGAAGAGGTCAAACAATAAAAAAATGGCAGAAGCACTAAAAGGCATCAAAATCGACGAGTTCAGAAACTGTGGAACAGTGCAGAGAAGTCTCGATAGGTGTTTTGCATGAAATGGAGAGTGCTTTGAAGGTGACTGAAGTTTAAACATGTAAGAATAAATAAACAACTTTTTATAAATAAATTCTGTTTGGGGGGCCCCCCCATAAGTAAATAAGGAGAATATTTATTTGTAGAAGTGACATGCCAGTGAATGTCTCATCCTTACATTTCTTTCCCAAGAAATATTTAAATGAGCTTCACATGTAGCCCAGAAAAATATAAAACAAGTTTTTGTCCAATGTAATATTCTATATATTTCTACTTTATTTAAGGAGGTGATCATCAGCAATAATAAATCACTTTATTATAAAGGTCAGTTCATCATAGCAGTGGTGGCAGAAAACCTGACAAACACCCTTGTTAATTCTTGCTTAAAAATTTTTCTCTAACATTCATTATGTCCAAAATATTCCTAATGGATATGGAAATAGTAAAACTAAAAATAACTTAAATTCCATTAAACTCTCCCCTGCTCCTGAGTAAGCCAGAAACTTGTTCCAGATACCAAAATGACAGGGAGCATTCATTATGCAGTGTTTGCACTCCTTGTCATGTTCCCAAGTTCATCACAGCCTTTATTAAATCCAGCCTGATACAATCAAAACAGTCACAGTGCGATCCAGCCTTGCTATATTGTAAAGGCAACGTAGTACCTGTTATATCAGATGTGACAGTGAGTTCTTAGCAAAATCTTACACAGCAACTTAGGCAAAAATGTCTGTCGGAACTGGCTCTCGAGTGCGCGGGATCACAGCGGCATCTCACAGCACCTGCTAATGATGACAGATTTACAGTCAGCGGGAGTGTGCCTGTTCCACTACTGCATGTTGAGTCACCTCTTTCCTCCTGTTGTAGAACAACTTTTTAGATCTCGACAACTTTGCTATGTCTTTGGTGCAAATGGGAGGAGAGAGAGCTCGCTTCTGCCCATTTAACTGAAAGGCTGACATGGTTTCTGTCATGAATAAATTAATTCAGCAAGAGGAGACCTGCATTTAAGGGATTCAGCTGCCTTAGTGGTGGTCGTGGATTTACAACTCTACAGAGTGTTTTCAGGAAGAAAGGGCATGAGATCCTCCACGGGGCTCTATGAATGCTGTCCCTGAGCACCTGGGGGTTCCGATGGCTTTTTCCTGTAAAGACTAAAGACCTATTTACTGGAGAGGATGGAGGTGCCATTGAGACAGTTTGGCTTGTAAATAGAAGGAAAACTGACACTGTTACCTTCAGTCGTTTCTCAGTATTTTATTTTTTTCTGTTTATCCAACAGTTATACTTTGACACTAAAACAGTCTATGGGAATATTTGAGCATGATGTAAGCAGTCTGTCAGAGTATGTCCTCAACATGTATTGAAAGACAAAACTCCAGTGGCTGCAGCACCAAAGGAAAGATGGATTCTTGTGTAGTTCACTTCAGCTGTTCTGGGAGAGAAAGTTCTTTCTCTCTGATTAATTTAAATGCACTAAATTGACCTACATTATTTTGAATTTCAGGAATTTAGGCTGTTCTTAGTAGGAATAAAAAGAATTCCAACTCTGTGTACCTAGAGACATTTAAATATGTTTTCCAACATGTTACAGAATCTTTTTGAGAGGGGAGGGGGTACTTTTCTTTGAATGGCTTTTGTGATAATCTTTATAAAAGCCAAGTGGAAGCTTAATAGATTTTCCCAGTCATTTCCTACAGTAATTCAGAATATTTAAAGAGGATATATCCTGATATAATTTCAAGTGAATTAGACTTCATTTTGAGCTAGGCAGAAGTGAGGAGATAGTCAAATCTTTACTGTTATTTATGTCATTCTCAGCTTTATGGATAAAAATATTTTGGTTTCTTGTATTGCATAAGCAATGACTAATTTTGTATATGCTCCTATTTATTTTACTTTTTTGGGCCTTTTATTTATGCCCATATTTTATCAAGAGTAAGATGTAATATTTGGCTATAAGGAGATTTATGTGAAAAAATATTCCCAAACTGAGAGACTATTTGCTGAAAAAGGTTTTGTGTATTTGTTAATTTTTACCTTGCTCAGATTTATGCAATATGTTTTCCCAAAGATGTGTACTGTACACATTACATGAAGCAGGCAGATGAACAAGTACGTGAAGAGAGGACTGAATCTCTGTGTGTGTACTCACATTCATCAGATCATAGGTGTGGTATTTCTGGTTCAAACATAGACCAGTTTGAATGTTCTGAGTTAGACAGGGTCTTCCTAAAATAAACACACACCCTGCGTATTGCACAGAGCTCTCATTACTTGAAATGCAGGCATCAAGAAAGAAGAGAGAAATTTCTGAGGAGTTGGTGTCATAAGACTGAAAACCAGTGAGTAAACCAACATATTGACCCCCTATACATTGTTCAGGTGATGTGACCGATGAAATTTTAAAGGAAATCAGAACCATATCTTGTTGTTGCTGATAAGAAGAGTGATTTTCTCACAGCTTATGAAGCTTCTCTATTTCTGCAGAGTTGTCAGGGTTACCACCTTTTTTCCCTTTTAATTCTTCCTTTAATAAACAAGGATGTGAATTCCATTTGACAGCCTGGAAACTTCCTGCTCTCCATTCTCACACCCCTCTCTCTACCAAGATTTTGTGAAAAGGCCCTGACGTGAGTCGTTTTGAAGGTGAATGATGTAACTTGGGCCAAATGGTAGCCATCCTCCTTGGACTATGATAATGATTATAAATGGGCCAGTAGCCCAGTGTCAGTCTTTTTACTCTGAATTTCTTTTGACTCAAAATCCATTTTGATTTCCCTCAGCTCATTACTGAAAGAGAAAAGACCATTTTTTTCCAGCACTCTTGTTTCTCCATCTTCTTCTATCTTTCCCTGTCCTGCCATGTGCATTCACAGGTGGAAAAAAAATCCCTGCTTTGGTTGGTTGAAAGATATTAAAAGGCCACTCACACTTCTTTATAAATGTCAAAGAGGAAAAACTTTTTCTCTACCTCTTACGTTCAGTACCTGGGAGTTTGCAAATTGAACTGACAGAAGACAGATTAGCAAGAGGAAAAAAAAAGAGTTTACATACAGGTGCAATGTTATACAGCAGAAGTGCTCTATGATGAGTAACTCAGAGGGGCAGATAGATTTGGCACTTATACCTAAGTTATACCGAATGTAGTTGTGGGGGGCGGGAGAATGCAGGAAAGTCTTCTAGGGGAAGAAGAAGATGGGTTTCTTTAGGAAAGACAAATGATTTTTTAGGAGAACAAATGGAAGATAAGACAGTTTGTGATAATGTTTGTTTTTGTGCAAGCCTTCTTTCTGTCTTGTCTGTGAAACTCCCCTGTGTGAGGATTTATGGTAGATTTACTCTTGGTCTCTCTGCTGTGATTAGAAGCCACCTCAAAGAGGGAATTTATGGCAGCCCTCCTTTCTCAGAAGTTTCTGCTTTATGTCAGATAATGGAAGCTCCCAAAAAGCATCTTTCTGCATCTGTTGAATCTCAAATATCTTCATCTTAAAATAATCTTTACATTAGCTTTAGGGTTCTGAATGGGTCCCCCGCATTGGCAGCCTGGGAGGATATCCCTCCTCTGTCCATCTGTTGGTCTGTGACTTCTTGAACTGTTTCAAAGCGTGTGTCTGAGACTAGAGTCATCTCTGCATCTCCTGCTGTGCTCCAACCCAGTGGTCTTTTACTTCCTTCTTCCTTCTTTCTGAGATCATTTATAATGCCAAGGAGTTTTCTGCTATGTACTAGCTTGTTTGTCTCTTTCAATATTTTCCTCTTTTTTTTTTTTTTCACAAAACTTAGAATACTTTAGAAACCTTATCTTTGTGATTACGATAGCCTTGCTGGACCACTTAATAAATTATATGGCTCAGTAGTTTTCTTTCCCGGTTCACAGTGGGAGGATAAAGGGAAAGGCATTAGCCCATGCTTTTGAACCCTCTTCCTCACACATCCTGCCCACAAGATTATGTCGTTGGAATATGGCTTTTAAGTCTTTTGTGGTAGGGAAAGCCACAGAATGGATTCTTCTTTTCTTCTGTGGTAAAATAAAGAGTAGTCTGTGATGAGGACCATAGCTTCCCAGCTCACTGGGATGCCTCAGGTGCTGCTGAAGGTGTCAGCTGTCCTCCCACATCTGCGTGTCTCTCAGGTGGGGCTCCTGACACTTAGCCATTCCTTCTGTCCTGGAAGGTTGTATAATGATCACATAGTGTAGAGTCCTTGAGAACATAGAAATGACAGTATTAAATTCAACCTCGCCATTGGTCAGACTGTTAGAGCTGCCTTTTGCCTGTGTATCTTGTTAGGCCAGTATCTCTGTATTTCATATGCCCTCATGAAAAACAGTTGTTTGAAAAATTGCCCTAATTTGCTGACCAACTCCAAAACAAGCCACATTATTGGTTCAGCATGAAATTGGATGTTCCCAAAAGGTTTTCATGCACATTTGTGAAAATAAGTGAAAATAATTCCTGTACTAATAATGCTAGGAAAAGAAAAACAAAACAAAACAAAACATGTGTTGGAAAATATATATTAAGCTTAATGGAGTTTGAGTCATGTATAAGATAACAAAATTTATTTTTGTTATTTTTAAATGTTTATTTTGAAACAATCTAAGAATTACAGAAATATTGCAAGTACAGAAGAAAGGGACTTTTCTTCCTCCAGGTTGATTTGAGAGTAAGTTGCTGGCCTGATGCCCCAGTATCCTCAGCACAAATGGGAAATCTGACCCACTCTGCCTTCCGTAGGTTTGCTTATTTGATCAGGCCCTGGTGCGGCACCAGTCTCTTTGTAACTGTTCTTCCCTCACCCACTCGGGGGCCAGCTCAGTGCCCGGCCCTCGCACCCAGCCCCTGCCGGGCTCCCCCCACCGTGCTGAGATCCTCCTCTCCCTGGATGGCAAGTCCTTCAGGGAAAAAAGGTCCTGGTAGCACCCACAGCGTCCACACCCAGAGTCAGGACGCTGCAGGTCCCCCCCCACCTCCTGCAGCCTGCACATCTTCCTTGCTCTGTACCGCCACCCTGACCATCACCGCCATGGCTTTTACACAGAATTGTTCCAGAAGGGCGGGAAGGAGGAGAGGAGTCCATTACTTTTAAACCATACTATAATTCTATTTTCATGAACTCACGTTGGCTTTTCCAGATTGTGAAAGGTTTTGGCGAAACACTTTCTCCCACTGAATCATCCTGCTTAAGAACGGGAAGAAGAGACCATTCGTTTTTAGTTTCCCATGGCATTGGTTCCCCTTCTCCTTACATCCCTCTCACGTGCTTCTGGAAGTGTCTGCTTGGGAATTGGAAGTCTGGGGACAGAAATACTATCTTTGGTCCCTACTTCCACAGTTTGAATTTTGACATTATTTTCATGATTCTCTTGCTTTTTTACCTTGTATTATTTCACTATTTTAAAAGGGCTTTAAGAACCTTGATCTTGAGCTCTTTTGAAGAGAGAGCTTCAACAACACAAAATGTGGTAGGGGAAAAAAAGGCAAGGGAAAATGTAGAGTAAAACCTCATTTTTCTTCTCTGTTTCCGCCAACTTTAATGATCTGCTGTGTTTATTGTGAAACACAACAGAAGCAGTAAGCAGGAACCACCCAAAGTGAGTCAGGCCATGCCCCCTCCTCAGGGGCAGGCTATGTTTCTATAGCTCAGGTCAACAGAGGTCCTAGAAAAGTCAACAGTTGTACAAGGTTGTGGGACTTAAAGCATGATCTTACCTACAAAGAATTGCCTTTCAGTTCTTACTATATGGAAAGTCCAGCTTGGCCTCCAGACACAGAAGGAAAAGGAGGACAGGGCCTGGCACTTGAAAGTCCAGTGAAATCAACAAAAAGGCCAGTTTTTCCAAGTTAAAATGGAATGTTTTTGTTGTTGATACTTTAAAAATGACTTTTAGGGGGAAAATATTTTAGAACAGGGGGAAAAAAAACAAACAGGTTGTAATGAATTCAGGAGAAGCTTATTATTCTATTTTATTTCCATCACCGCATTTTTCTTAGTGAACCAGACCTAGGTTTTGAACTTAATATTTTATTCACAAAATACAAAAGTAATGCTCTCCTCATGTCACGCTCCTGTTTCCACAAATCACAGGATGTCCCTGTTGTGTTGTGGATGTATGCGTGTGTGAGTGACAGGCTGGCAGAGAGCTCACGGTGTCACCCCGCCAGTGGGCAGAGCCCGCCTTCCTCCGGAGTCCGTGCTTCTGGACTTTGGTTCATTTTCCAAAATGAACATGTGTTCTCTGTCAGAGCTACCCCCAGCCCCCCCATGCTAATTTTTGGGAAATAATTTCTTGTTCAAGATTTCGATTGGAAAATGAAGGTGCACATCAAGGGCATGGTTAAATAGGCCCCTCTATTTCAATGCATTCTCATTGTAGTGGACCCTTAAGGGTTGTGAATGTGACCTGAAAATAAAGACCTATGATCTGTTGCCAATTGAAAGGTTTATATTTGTTTTATACCAATGATACTTTTTAAAAATATATTGAAAGGGGATTCAAACCTATTTCCACATGCTCATCTTCTCAGCCAGGCATTATTTACATCGTTATTGCTGTAAACATTTGGACAAGGCCTGAAGGACATTTATGTTTAAAACAAGAATCCAACTTGTTTTTCCAGAAGATTTGGTTTCTAGTTTCCCGTTGGTGACATCACTGAAGATGGTTTTTCTTCGGCAGGAGGTTTTTTCCTCAAAAGTGATGAGCACCAAAGGACAATATCTAAATTCCAGGAGCGTCTGGAATCAGTGTTAAATTACATATGCTGCCCTGAGAATATGTGAAATGGAAATCTTTATTGTGGTGATTCTGTTTTAGCACTGTCATCGCACATATTGTGGTATTTCTGAAAAATATTTTTGTGAGAACATAAAGAACAATAAAACCAAATGACATGGAAATCACACAGAGCCTGCTTTCTTGTTAGAAAATAAAGGGGTACTTTGGGATACACTGTACAGAGTAAGTCTGAGTAATTCTATGATCCTGACGTGTTTTTCCTTCCTTTCTTCCCTCTAGGTACAGAGGCAAAACATACAGGGCTGTGGCCAAGATTGTCCGAACTTCTGACCAGGTAGCAGATTTCTGCCGACGGGTTTGTGCCAAGCTGGAGTGCTGTCCAAATTTGTTCAGCCCTGTGCTGGTTTCCGAAAACTGCCCAGAAAACTGCTCCATTCACACCAAAACCAAATACAGTGAGTACTAATAATGAACAGAACGCTGGCCCATGGGCCTGAACTGTGGGGTCACGTAGTTGGTGTTTATGGTTTTTCAAATAACCTCTGAATATTCTTTCACAGGAATTACTGTGGAAGAATTCTTTAAGATTTACTGGGGTAGATAGTTCTGTGTTTTTTAGCTCGGTATACGGAAAGGATGGGGTGATTAAAATCAGGACGAATAATCCGTGGTAGGCATTGGCAAAGAAGAAATGAGGAGGTATGTGCCATCATGAGTTTAGTGGATTGGTTGATTCTGAACACCATGTGACTGAAAGAAGAGCACAACAAAATGGATTATTGGAAATGGCTAGTAACCAGAATTACTTCTTGGTTTTCAACACTGAGGAATCTTTCATTGCCCTTCTTTACACGGGGCAGCCTCCTTGTCACAATCAGTTTCCCCCTGTTTGTACCACTTAATTCAGACTCTCTTGAGTGGAGTAGTGGAGGGTACCAAGCACTTCTGACCTTCTTTGCTCCTGTCTCTGTGTCTCCACTGTGAGAGTGGCTGCCGTGGCCTCCTTGCCTTTGCTTGGACCTCTTCCGGGCAGGATGTTCTCCCCTTCAGCACCTGCATCTTGCATCTCCCCATCACATGGTCGACCTCTCCCTTCTTCTTGTTGACCTCTCCTGCCTCTGTTCCAGTCCCATCTCTGTGCCTCAGCCATTCCCAGACACCGGCACCGTGGAGAGTATGAGCTCTGAGAACTCTCTCTCTTGGCTTCTGCTCTTTCTATGTCTCCCCTCAGTTATCTCATCTCCAGAGGGTGTCTACATCCCTGTCACAGTGACCTGGAAGTTTGCTCTGCCAGCCTATGTTCCAGCCAGTTGCTAGGGCATCACCAGGCCCCACAAGCACAGTGGGTGTTCTGTGGGTCCCAGCCAGCTGGGACTTGTCAGTTTGTGTGTCAGAACGAGGAATCTGAACATACTGGAAACACTGTTCAGTGTGAATTTCCTTCCATTGTGTGTGTGTGTGTGTAGATACATATTGTACATGTACACACACATATATATACACACATACATATATATTCACATTTCATTCTGCACACACTGTCACTCATGGAGGACTTGCAGGAATCTCCTCCCCCTCTCTCCCTTTTGCCTCTGTACTAAATGTATATACGTGTGTGTAGCCTTTTAAAAAAGCTTTTAATTCACTCTCTCCTTGTAGCCTATTATTATGGAAAGAGAAAGAAGATCATTAAGCCCCCAATTGGGGAGAGCAACATTGAAAGTGGACACTCTAAACCAGCCAGGCGTAGGAAACGGCGAAAATCCATTTTTGTGCAGAAGAAACGGAGGTCTTCTACTGTGGACTTTGCAGCAGGCTCAGGGGAGGTACGTGCTACCAAAGCACCTTCTGACACTCCACAGGGACGCAGCGCCCTGGCTGGCGAGTGTGACGGTTTCCTAGTGAAGGCTGCAGTGAAAGTTCGATGCTTACTGGTTGCATACGTGAGGTACCAAGAACCCTCTTCCTTATTTGTTGAAAACAGATTTAACACTGTCAGCTGCCCTAGCCACAGAAAGGCTGCCACTGGGACCCTGGCTGGGACCCTCAGATCAGTCCTCGGAGGCTTCACCTAGTGGTTTTCACGCAGCCACCTGGGGGGTAAAAGATCTAGGATTAGAGGCCGGCCTCTTGTGTTCACAAAGGCCCCTTTCACCTTACTTCAGTCTGTGCATGTTCCTCCTTCGTAGGAAAGTGAAGAGGAAGACGCAGATGCTGTGGACGATGACACCGGGAGCGAGGAAACCGGCTCTGAGCTGCGGGATGACCAGACAGACACCTCTTCAGCCGAGGTCCCCTCTGCCCGGCCCCGGAGGGCTGTCACCCTGAGGAGCAGCTCTGAGCCAGAGCGCCGGCTGCCCGTGGAAAGGGCGAGACGGGGCCGGAGAGTGCAGGCTGCCCCCTGTGCGGAGGGCGGCGACAAGGGCCCGGCTGCCAGCCAGGACAAGGACACGGGACAGGTAAGGCTCCTGGGCTCTGCAACTGGCTTGTCCAGACAGGGTGTAGGAAAAGAATTGCATTATGGTTTGTGGCCTAGATTTGGGGACACCTCTTCAAAATATTAAAGACATCAGCAGCTACTCCAACTTAGTTCCAGATCACAGGCAAAAGCTTAGAGATTTTACATCTTGACCAGGTGAGTCAGTGAGCATCAGAACGGAGCTCTGAGGTAAGCAATAGCACCCCTTTTTCTGGAAGCCTTTAAAACCACAAAGGATTTGTTGAGGAGCACAGACAAAAGAAGTCCTCAAGGACCCACTGAATGCTAGACTTTCCCTTTCTAGGCTACTTGGTGATACCATCAAATAGTAAATCAGCCTCTCAGGTCTCTCTTAACCCCACAGGTGCTAGATGACCAGCTGGAAGGTCACTAGCACCATTGTCACAAAAACATACAGGGAATAGCTCACTCCCTTGTGCACGTTTCCAGAGGCTCCTTTTCATTCATTTCTTCTCTTCCATCAGAGATGCTGCAGGTCCAAGATTCCCTGAACTTGGGATTCCACAACTGTTATCATTGTGCCTTTAAAACACATTTTACCTCTAAAGGCACACGAGTCACTGGAGGCCAAAGACCCTGTGGTTTGTCCTGGCATCTTATGAGAGACTTCAGGGGGCCGTCCTCTCATGGTCCGGGTTTTAGAGAGGGTCCTGCTGACCATGCAGTGATAAAATGACCTCCTGCTTCCCTTATCTCTGCAGGAAATAAAGCAAGAGGAGGAGGAGAGACTCATCCTGGAGAGCAACCCGTTGGAGTGGACGGTGACTGACGTGGTGAGGTTCATTAAACTGACAGACTGCGCCCCATTGGCCAAAATATTTCAGGAACAGGTATGATGATTCTGTGGTGTATTTGCTGTTTTTATTATGAGACTCTGGATCTCAGTGAAACCTGTTTTAGCTGGCTTCCTGTGACACAGCTTTGGTGGGAAAGGGAGCATTTCCACATTACATCTGTGGGTGGGGAGTGGATGTCTGGGGTCCACACAGGGTCTCCACCAACACCTTTTTCGGGGACTCTTTGTAGCCAAGTGGAAATGAGAGTCTCAGCCTTCCACTTGACCTTCTCAGACACCCTTCCCTGGGGCTGGGGCACCTGGTGCCACGTGGCCAGGCCGGAAGTCAGGGCCTGTCTCCGCCTCTGCTGGCGTGGGTGGGGCAGGCCACTTTGTCCTGCAGTGCAGCAGTCATCGTCTGAAAGGCTTTGTCTCCAAGGGCTACCCCTGGCCCAGTCCTGTGGCTAGAGAGAGCCGGCCACTGTTGGGCCTCTTGTCATCTGTCTGTGTCCATTGGCTTTTCTGGGTTCCCAGCTTCTTCAGCAATGTCTTGCATATGCACATAGGAGGCGAACATAAAACCCAGAACACTCAGCGCCACATCTCGTCTCGGGTCCCGCAGTCCCAGCTGGTCTGCCTTCTCTCCACCTTCAAATTCTTCTTAAGTTTGTTTTATTTATAACATCCAGGGCTTTTACTCATACTTGCCAGGAGATACAGGGAAAGATATGCTGACTCAGTCTTCTCAGAAATAGTTTTCTGTAGATTTTGTTTTATTTCATGCAGGTTTCATCACTGTGTTTTTTTCTTTCTTCCCTTTGGCTTTGTAAAATATTTTAAAGCCTATGGTGTGTGAGGTGGGTGTTGTGCTAATGAGGAATAAATACAAGAATGACTGAGAAAATCTATACCTTATAGGAATTTTAAATTTAGCAGGTGAAATGACTATAATCAGCTAAAACTAAGGCATGATATGAGGAGCCATAGGAAAGGATGGTTTTTATTTATATTTTCCTGAAATTAACATGCAAACAAATTGCTGTCCGCTAAACACATGCCACCTTGCAGACTTCTCACTAGTCTCACATAAAAAGTTCCAAGTTTAAGCCTGTGAGGCGTGCTCTGCTCTATTTGCTTAACTTGTTGAAATTTCTTGCATTGTGTCACAATGTTGTAAATAGCTGTCTCTCAAGACCCTGTACTTTTTTGAAAAATAGTTTTCCATATAATAAATTAAAAATATGTCTATCTAGTCTTTTTTTAGATTATATAAACCAATAGTCTACATAAAGGGTAATACAAGCAATAAATCAGGAAGAAAAAAGAAAGGCCTCTGATTTCCCATGCTCCCAGTGAATTTCTCAGATTTTCTCCCAAGTTTATCATAGTGTAGTAATGAATTGTGAAAAGCAAATTAATATGGTTCCCAGCTCCTCCCGGGGGAGAGTAGTTCTTAACATTCAAAGGACTCCGACTGACCATTGGAGTCTTTTGCGGACAACCAGTAAGTACACCCTGAATGAACGAATGAATGGTGGTGAGAAGGGCCCTTTGATCGCATGCGTGCCCTGGGCAACGCTTAAAAGCAGGCAGACAGGAAAACACTTCGTTAGACATAAGGAACCTGGGTAAGTAGCGTGTCTCTTCGTTTAAGACACACAAACAAAAGAGAATTATAAGAAGTGTGAGGACTTACATGATTTGGGGCATGCTGATCAGCTACATCTCTGTCTTGAGAATGAAAATACAGCAGAACTTTGAAATCTTGCTAAAAGCATTGCATTCAAAGACATGGCAAGTGCTGATGACATCATTTAATGTGCATATCTATCTGTGCACGTGTGCATTTCACACGCACTGCTGTGGGCCTCCGCAGTCAAAGGCCACCCTAGGAAGGTGGCTCTCTATATTAGTCTGAAGTTTTGTTTCTGTTTTGTTTTAGACCCAAAATCCAGTCTTAACTGAGAAATGTTTTTCAGTTGTCCTATCACATAGCAGAGGGCAGAGCCTCTCCCTCCCGGCTGGTAGGTTATCTGGGAGCTCAAGGCCGCTTGTACTGCGGAAGGCTTTGTACAGGCTCATGTGCTGATTTCTTTTACAAGTTTCTAGTTATAAGCAAACAAACAAAACCAAAGCTGATTTGGGAAAAAGGCTGAAATACTACTTATGCTAAGTCTTCCTCAATTTAGTTCTTCTAAGCCCTGTTTATAACAATATCTCAGAAAGCTTCCCAAGCTGAGGCTTCCAAGAAGTGAAGTGTTCCCGGCATGGTACCACTTCTAGAATCAAGCAATGGGCAGAGCCCTCCCTTCAGTTGCTCTTCTCACATCAGTTAAAAGCTTGGCCCTACTTACCTACTTATTTACCATGTAGAGAGAAAATTAGGTAGACTTTAATTGATAATAGCCTTATTCCTGTTTAATTTTAAATTTCACATTAGGCCATTTCACCTGTCGCAATAAAAGGCTGTTTCCCGCTGTGCTGTCTGAAGTACATGGGCACTTGAGTCGTTTTCTGTTCAATCAGACCTTTAATTACTAATTTTTACTAATTGATTCTATCATCTTTGAGCCCAGATGCCATGGCTGTGATTGGGGGAGGCCTCCAGTGGGTCAGTCCAGGCGCTGGATGAGTTTTTAGATGATCTGGAAGGAGCCCAGGGTCTTTATTCACCAGCGAGTGAAAAAAAAAATCACAGGGCATGGAATGGTAATAGCTATGTGAGTTCACGTCTCTGGATGTTGTCAATTCAGAGACTCTCATAATCACCAGGAGTATTTATAAAAATTATAAGCTCTCCATTACTGGAATACATGCCTTTTAATTCTGAAACATTATGGCAACTGCGTAAAAAAATCTATACTCTATAATTTCACCCTGTACACATGTACATCGTGCGGTAAAACCCCACACATGTATAACTAACAAACACAAAACTCTCAAATAAAATTTTCTATTCATTCACCTTTTAAGAACCAGAGACATATAATAAAGTACCCAAATTAGTGATTTATTTTAATTAAAAAATTTCAAGATAATTTATAGGTTTACTTCACATTTAGACTATTTTCTCCTCTTTCTACTTCTATAGACCTGAATGTTCCAATTAAGAAATTGCCACATCCTATACCGACCTCTATATCAAACAGTCTAAATTTAATTTTGCCATGTGATAAGCATAACTTTGATGTTGTGTGTTATATTTCATTTCCTAAAAATTAGTAGTCCATTTATAGTAGTTCTCTGTTGAACATGACAAGTGATTTGCCAGCGGTTCTGAATTATGTGAAGCCAAATTTGTAAAAATTAACTGTGAGGTCTCTTAGTACAAAATCAATGAAAAAAAAAAAAAAACTTTCTGTGCTGGTGTCATGTTGGTTTAATTGCTGAGACTTTATAATGGTTTTAAATTTTTTAATATTTTATAATTCACTTTGACATTTAAAAAAATAAATAAAATCAATCTGCATTTACGAAAGAGAGAAAAAGAGAGAGGGAGATGGAATCCTACCTTTTGCGACAACATGGATGGAAGTGAGAATATTAAGCTAAGTGAAATAAGTCAGTTGATGAAAGACAAATACCATATGATCTTCCCTATAAGTGGAATCTATTCAACAAAATAAACTAATGAACAAAATAAACCACAGGCATGGAAATATGAAAAAAAAAACAAAAACTCCTTTCAAACCAGAACAAAAACTACACATGAGAGCAACTGCAGGGTGTGGTATTCCTCCCTCGTCCCTTGACTCTGTACAGGGTCTTGTGTGTTAGGATTTTGCCCAGTTTTTCTTCCACTCACCCGTCTCTCCCTCCCACTTCTCTGTGGGGACCCTCGAACAGTTCTTGGTTATGTGCACTCTGAAGCATAAGTGACAGTTGGTGGGTAAGACGTGGCAGTCAACCACATTTGACATCACTCAGCTACTACCGTTGCTCTTCCATACAAGTGACAATCTGATGGTCAGGTTACTAAATCTATAGTGTCTTTCAACAGGCAGCATGAGACTTTAGTGTTTGGAAATCGGAGGTCTGATTTTATTCTGGTAGCACGTTCTTCTCAAAATAAGAGCATGCGGGAGTTCTGTGTTGCCTCGTCAGGGAAGGTGGAGAATGAGGTGAGAACCCAGAGAGGACAGCCAGAGACCCGAGGTGGCTCAGTGCAGACAACATGTATGTTAACCACTGCCCTCACCTCAGATATCAGGCCCAGCTGTTGTCACTGCTTCCCAGATAAAAAGCTGGTGAAGGATCGCTGTGATGAATCAGATAGCTTATCCTTAAACCACTGCTACCCCGTAATCTTCATCTTCCTGCCAATAGGAGTGTCTCTGCAGCCAAAGTTCAGCTGTGTTTTCCCTCAGTTCTTTAGTCCTAGATGTGCAGGGCTTCCATGTGGGTCTGTGAGACCCATGAGACATGTTTCACCTGCTTTTAAGAGGGAAGGTCAAAGATGTGGGCTCGATTTCATCCATCCAGTTTGCCCACATTCCAAATTCAGGCCACGGGGGATGGACTTTTCCCTACCCCCCAACTGTGGCCTCAGAACAGAGACCTCCTGTAAACTTAAGGCACACTCCCCTTGATTTTCACCAGCCATAATGCTATTTTGAATTCTGTATTTCTTGAGTTCTTGGTTGATTTTCTCTTATGTATTTTTATGAGGTAGTGCATCAGTGTGCCTTTCTACTGGTAGCATAGGGGGTTCCCTTTATAATACACTTCTTTGTTAACACAGTATTGTCAGACCTTAATTGCTGTGGGTATAAAATTATATTGTGTTTTGGGCCTAGTTTGCATTTCCTTGATTATTGATGAGGGAATTATTACCTTAAGAATTCCTTGATTCCTTAATAATTACCTTAATAATTCCTATTCCCTTAGGTCTCAGGTTAGGCATCACCTAATCTCTGTAGCCATCGTTGACTCCTGTAAGTTTCGTTGCCTGTCTTATTTGAACTTGTAGCTCTGTGCCCATACATTTATCTTTCTATATCCTAAGGTCTGTTTCCCTTGAAATTTATACTCTCCTGGAAGAGTGGGGGGAAATCTTTGTTTTCTTCAATATGATATCCCCAGAGACTATCAGAGTATTCTGGCACTTAGTAGATGCTCAATAAATGCTTGTTAAGTGAGTGACATCCTCCACTTAAATGTGGTGCCTACATATGGCAGCCACCTTAACTGAAATTATCTGTAAAGAGTTATATTTATATTTTAGGGCTGATTTTCCATTGTAACTGATTTTCTATGTCCGGGGATGGCCATCATGACTAACTATAGATGTTAAAAGCTGAGCTACCATTTTCCTTCCAAAGTTTAATATCAGAAAACCGTGATTTTAGTTCCAGTGCTGCATCTAACCAGCTAGCTTTTCTGTCATTAATTTCCATCTTTAAGAAAAGCTTCCATCTCCTAAAATAAGTTCAGGTCTATTTTATCAGGTCTGTTCTGTTGATTTCATTGAAGCTAATGGTTAAGTGTCCTGCACGTAGTGTTATACATTAGTCTTCCCAAGATTAACATTCATACACATTTTGGTTCTTTGCTGTAGACATTTTCAAGACAGCCAAATAAAACATTAGTTTAAGAAAATGAGTACCTATGTGAAATTCATTGAGTCTGTGGCTTATGGCAGCCCTGGGCCTCTCCTTCCTCAGGAGGCATAAGTTCTGCGGGGCTAAGTCTCACTGATGCACTCATTCCACCACTGAGTTTTGCCATGACCTTGGGCCTGCCGTCTCCTAGAGCCTGAGTTATTCCCTCTGGGATATGAAGAGCATCCTGCTGAATGGAAAGAGGGGTTGCAGTTACACTCAGCTGCCCAGTCAAACAACATCTACATAAATAAGCCCAACTTTTATAGAACCAGGAGGGTGAAGGGGCAAAAATATACAGTGGTGATCCTAAAGCTTTGCAGTAAGCCTTTATACCCTTCGTCCTGAGGCCTCTTGTGTAATTTCATGGTCACTTAATGAATATTGTTATTTTGGGGCCCCTGTGTATGATGGGGAAGTAGTCAATAAGACGCAAGTACAGGTAGCACTTCCTTCTGGGTGATGTAGGTATATGGATATAGATACGTGTGGTGGGCGCATGCACGTGTGTCAAAACACCTGAGTTTTCCTCTCTGGAAACTGTGCGGTGTCATTGGCACATTTTTCTAACATCTTCTTACCCATTCTGATGGTGGAATAGTAGACCTTGGCAGAGAAGAGAGATTTTTTCTTTCACCAGAGAGCCCTTTTCTAGTGCTCAAATTAAGTCACAGCAAAGCGTAGGAAGGACTGGGCCTGGGGCAGCGAAGGGGGCCGGGGAAGGGGGTAGGGATGCGGGCGGGCGCTCTCCCTGCAGGGGACAGTGAGCTTGGGAGAGAAGAATTCCTGCAGCAGCTCCCCCGTCCAGCTCTTCATCCCCACCAGCCCAGGCATGTACATTTCAGAGTAGCCAAAATTTTTTTTAGCAAAAAGAATGTATTAACCAAGAAATGAGACAGCCCTTAAGCCAATTGCCTTGTCCAAGCTCTTGGGAGGAAAGGAGAGCAGTCCTCACACCCTTGGCCCCAGGGCAAAAGCTGCTGTGACTAACGTATTGCCTCCGTGCGCACTGTCTGGGCTCTAACCTACTTTCTTTTCCAACAGGACATTGACGGTCAGGCGCTCCTGCTGCTGACTCTTCCTACAGTGCAGGAGTGCATGGAGCTGAAGCTGGGGCCTGCCATCAAGTTATGCCATCAGATCGAGAGAGTCAAAGTGGCTTTCTATGCCCAATATGCCAACTGACTCTACCCTCTTGATGATACGGTGTCTTGGGATGGTTTTCAGGACTGGAACTTTCATTTTTCCCAGATACATGAGATGGTTCATACACAGTTACCGGGAAGCAAGAAGCATGAAGGATCTCCTTCCTTCACCAGCCTGTTCCATAGTTCCCTGTTTTTAAAGCACACACCAGGACCCCCACCGTGGCCTCTGGAGAGTGTAAATTAAAGTTCTGTGTTAGACCCTGTGGGATATGAAGAGCTTTTTTGTATATCCACATCTCGCCTTTCTCCCACCCCCAAACCAGGCAGCTTCCTTTGAACAAGGCTGTAAACCAAGGCCCACATTTCTTTGAAAACACCTTAAGATGCAGTTGACATCTTTCTCAATGTGACTGACCACAAGGAGATTGCCTGGCTGGTAGTTTTTGTTCTACTCATTCTTAGGCGCATTTATACATGCTTCTTTCATACTGATACACGTGTGGCTGTGGCTGTGTGGCTGCCACCGCAGTTTTGATCTTGGTGGCAACACATTTCTCAAACACAACTATAGGCGATGCTTCAGGGTATAGTTATAAAAAGGTGGGCTAAACCTGCATTGCCTATCAGAGGTGCCTTTTAGGAAGTACAGAGAGCAAAGGAAGGTGCCATGTCATTGCAGTGAGACAGTTTTTTTCTGAGTAATAGACAGGAAAGGACCTCACTTTGCAGGTTCTTTTATGGAGTCTAAAATATCTCAAATGTTCTAATTTAATTGTGACCACATCAGGGAGGGACTTCTTTAGTCTCTTGGGAAATGTTGAGTTGTATATTGAAGGAAAAGCTTACTTTCAGACAGCAAGAATAGGAAGAGATTGGAGACAAGCTTTTTACAAACCAGCTACTTCCCCTTGGATTCCCTTTGAACGCCACTTGCGTTTGGTTTGGCCCTGGTACACTCATTTACAATAAGCCAGTGGACAGAACACTGGACCTGGAGTCAACATGGTCTTTTCCTGGCGGAACTAATGACTAACTCCTTGATCTTGGGTAACTCTGCGTGACTCTGCACCTCATTCTTGCAACGTGACAGGTTGGAACACTTAGGACTGGAGCAGTGAGCCCACGTTCCGTCTCCATTTTGCTCCTGCTCAGGGAAGAGTCCAGAGAGATTGGCCAAAATGAGAAAAAGAGAGTAAATGAAAAAGAAGGGTGTCACCACAGCTTTTAACTCTGTCATTCCTGCAGCTCACTGTGGCTTTGAGGTTCTTAGGACGTTTCTTGGGTGATGTTCATTAAATCAGTGAAGTCATTTGCAGAAAGATCTGCGTCTCTGAGAACTGACTGGTTTTTGTACCAAGCACTTTATGGGTGCATGCCCCTGAGTGATCCAGCATATATATATTCAAACCCAAATGGACTATCATATTCTGTTGCCATAGTGGCCCAAATACCTTTAAACTTGTGCAAAGAAACCACACCTTCAAATTGTTCAGGAGTAAACATGAAAAGCAGAGTGCGCACTCTTCTCTTACTTCTGTCCTATAATTACCTTGATCTTTTCTCTTGGATCAGCCTCAACAATTCCAGTAATACCATGTGGGGGGCGGGTGCTTGTTATCTGATCATACTTCCGCTACCTTTTAAGGCAGGATTGTCAGATTTGGAAAAGTTTGATTATGAATGCTAATCTGTACTAAGATTTTGACACTGGTCCAGATGAAAATGGAAAACAAATAGTATGTAGTTGAAATGTTTTTGTCTCCCTGTAGCTGGTTTCGACAGTCCAGTTTTAAATACTTGGCAAATGCATTTGCCTGGAAACCGCTGACGGAAGGACCGCTGTCCTGAGCTGTGCTGGTGGGCACCGTCGTAAGGAAGGAAATGTCTGTGGTGATTCCTGCTTGGCTTGCCGTCCTTTCTCTCTTCTAAGTGAAAGTTCCAACCCCTCCCTCGGTTTCCCACCCCTGCCTTGTCAGCCACGTGCTTTTGGCCTTAAATGCTTGGTCTTGTGAAGTTAAACTATGTCTAAAAGTTGGAAAGGGTATCCATTCCAAGATCTTGGCGTTCTCCCTGTGCTGACTCATTTATGATCCTTCACTGTGGCCTTTTCAAACTGAGCTCTTTCTGCTGCATTTGAAACAGGAATGAAGCAGTGTGGCAGCTACAACATAACGTCATGCTTTCAGAAGGAATGTCACCTTCTCATGCCCTTTCAAAGAATGGCATGGAGGAAGAGGTGCTACATTGAAGTAGATCTTCTTGGGGAGCTAGAAGTCTCCCGCCGGGCGGTCTGGACAAGACCTGGCCACCACTGTTGGCGAAGCTTCCAGCTCCCTTGGGCCCAGATGCCCAGGACTCTCCTCATCCTCTGCCCTCTCTTTGTGCTTCTGCTTTGTGTCTGTGAGGAGTTGGCTGCCACCAGAAGCAGAAGAAGGCCAGCTCTGGGGGATCATCATGAAGGTTGTCTCATGCTGTCTCCCGGCCATTCTGAGAGCCACGATACATTTCAGGACCAAGAAGATACTTCTGTTCTGAGTGTTGCCAACATCCTCCCAAACTTGGGTTCTTTAGGGATTTCCATGGTGGGGGGCATAACTTCACACTGGGAGCAGCTGGGCTACAGAATTGCAAGGTGGTGTTCGTTTCTCTGTAGAAGTCACCCCCTTGCCAGCTCCTGTCTTAGAAATAGGGCCAATTTCCAAGGAACATTTTACTTTATTGTTACTGTGGCTCTTAGGGCAGGAAATGATGATTTTATACCTATAACTGCCCCCTGCCCCCAATACCACCACAGTCCCTAAGCCAAATGTTTCTTGGTCAGAACATTCCTATGGGTGATGCCCCTCCCCACTCCACAAACCGTGGTCTCTCTGTCTCCCTGATAACACCTGGGGACCAAAGTCCTGTCCCCTCTGTACCTGGATCCTGCACACACCATGCTGCTCATTATCTCTGGGAACAGCCGAAAAGCACGTTTTCCCTCTCCTGGCCAGCAGACACTTTACAATCTGGACATGTATATAACTTGAGAAGCAGATGTGCCACCACATCTTTAATAATAAAAGTCCATCACTCGATTCCACTCAAAACCTAGTGGAGCTTGTTTCAGTCCCTGACTTCTTGACTTCATTTGTACTGTGTTGGGAAAACACTCCACAAAAATAGAAGCATAGAAAAACTAAGAAGGGCAGGGCACGAAAACTGGCATAACAAAACTTCCGTGCTTTACAAAAAAATAAACGAGGCAAAGACCAGTTTCCTTTCACCATGGAGTTGGGTAGTATGGAGAATTCATTCACTACTTTTAAAATTAAGTTCATTTGATCAAAGTTTGACTCACACATGGTGTTTGAGCTGTACATCTATTAGGTTCCTTGGCCCTATTTGATCGTATTTGAAAGATTATTTCCTGTGTTTGCTTTGATTTGTTCCTCGATAAATTAAAATGACTCAGACATTCCCCACGGCCACCCCTGACCCTTACTACAATCTCTACAAGGCTGATTTTGATCAGACTTTGAAGACTGATCTCAGTTTCCTAATTTGTCTCATAGAATTTTGAGTGTTGTATCAGGCAAGTTCTGAGATTTGCCTTTTATCTTACACCAAACACCCTTTCTAAGAGCATTCCTCCCTTCATTGTGGAAGCACTATTGGTTTTCATACTTTTGTAGAACGCCCATTTATATGTATTTCTGTATATAGACCTATAAAAACAGTAGTGTTAAAAATCTTTGTTGTGGTCTGAACATCACTGTTGCTTTTTGGTTAAGATGGTGAACGTAGGCCCCAAGGACTCTTCCGTCTTTAGAAAGCTGTGATTGCGTGTGCAGTTATTTGAAGGGAAAACTTGTAAGTTAAAGTACTGGCCATTTTTAAGAATGAACTCGTTGGCGAGGCCGCACTGCCCATGTCGCTTTGGTGCAATAACTAAATAGCAGTTATTACGGTCCAATGAGTCTTTTATTTATTCACTGTCCTTTTCTGTTCAAGGGATTTCTAGAAGTGGCTTTACTCCCTTGAACTTGGTTGAAGTTTTAAGTTGATTGATTCTCATAGCTTTTATCACTAGAGTTGGTTTACAGGTATCCAAAACAGAATATGATAAAGTCGAATTGGGCTATTTTGTCCCACTTCATTTACCTAAAAATTGTAATTGCTGACAACCTGGTGCTGCCTTGGGTTTTGGTTGATAAATAACTCAAACAGTGTCCTGAGCTGCAGACTTTCCATCTCAGTTGCTTTTGGTTTAAATGGCCAGGATTTGGTACCAGTCAGTATGTAGGTCTTGTCACATAACCAAGCAGAGTGGTGCTTCATACAGGCCAGAGAGAGGCATTGGAGAAAAAGTTTTGGGACAAACTGAAAATCACCTTATGATGGGAAATTGGAGACAAAAAATTTTAAATGGCAGAAAAAATAATCATCTCATTGGTTGAAAATGGGAGCTAGCATGATATCTGGAAGTGTAAACTGTTCCTAGTTGTGAATGTCAAACGCTCTTTTACTGTTTTGCATTCCAATTTGAGTAGTTTATATTGAAATTTGATTCATATATCTCGTGTATGTTTTGGTGCATAAAAGGAAAAATTTGGGGTTTTTACTTTTGAGATGTGCAGGACAAAGGGCATGTTGTTAGTTTGTTGTAAGACTGTATTCTGTATATATGTTTTCATGTAAATAAATGAAAATCTATATCAGAGTTATATTTTAATTTTTATTCTAAATGAAAAAAAATCCCTTTTTACTTGAAAAATTGTAAGCCACGTTGTTAATAAAGTAAAAATAAATTCTATGGTGGTGTTTGTGTCTTTGTGTTGAAAGTTATTAATTATTTTTAGAGTTTGCATTAGAGTTAATTTTTTTCTTTTTTCTTTGCTGTATGCTAAAACGCAGGTAACAGAGTTTTAATAACCATGACTCTCAAAATCCTTTGTTACCTTTCAGAGTCACCTGTTAGCTCTGGAACACTTTATTCAAAAAACTTGTATTTACCCTTTTTATTAAAACATTACTCAATATCTTCATATGATTGCCTCCAGCTTCCTCATAGTCAAGAACTAGTTATTTTATGACTACCTGGTGCATTAGTAGAAATACTACTTTATGTCCATAAGAACGATAAGTAAATAACCATATCTGCACTCATCATTGCCCTTCAAGTGTCACCAGTGAGTCTTTGGTATCTCGGTTGGAAAAGGAAAAGGTCCCTTTGCCACCCAGTCCTGTCACAGAGGCTCTTAGAGGGAGATTGTGCCCCTCTCCCCTCTGCCACACAGACGCAGGTAACTTGACCTAGAGCCAGAGGTAAGATGAAGGACAGGGGTTGGAGGCACTTAGGGAAAAGAGGTGGAAGGGAGCTGCACGTTTCTCCTAACGGCAGGTGTTTGCGGTGCCTCAAGCCTCTTACTATACTTTAGCCCTGCTGATAAGTTCTGCATTTAGAAATTTTTGTTTCATTTTTAATGATAGAAGCTTTTTCTCTTAGTAAAACTTTAATAACAAAAAAAAAGCCCAAGAGGGCAGACAAAAATGGGAAGCATATTCATTTTCTCAAAATATACTAGAAGCAAATTGGTCAAGGGTTATATGGCTGAGTAAGTACGACCATCTATTTGTAATGAAGATCTCTGATGACAAATTTAAAGGATGAATGTGTAATCAAGTGACAACTAAATGCTTTTCCAGCACTTCCCTCGCCTGAACACCATAGAACAGCTTCGCCTGGTGCAAGTGCTTTGCAAAATGATTGTTCTGATGACGTGCCCCCACCCATCACTGCTTCCATGATATTAAGACAAGTCTCAGCACAGCCTGGGCTGGGAACTAACAAACCCGATCTTGGAAGGACAATCCACATATCAAAGGAATTGATGTGGCTAACGTCACTAGCAAAAGCAGCGGAACCAATGTGGTAGTAGGTGAAGCTGTTAGACCAAGCAGGATAGGAGATAAGACAGGATATGGGAATTCAAGACATTGGACATTTATCTGTAACATGAGATTTAATAGTCCTGTAAGGACAGCTTAGAGCCAGTCTAAGGATTACCTGGGATGGTTCCCAGATTTGGCCTTCAGTAGACGAGATGGAAATTCCAGCATGTCCTTTGCCTCGTATTGAGAAAGCAGCCAGAAGGCTGGAATTACAATGGATACAAATGTAAAACAGGGCTGCTCTCTTTTAAAGTACAGTTTGCTGGGACATTGCTTTCCCTCCTGGGGAAAAAAAATGAGGGCACCTTGTTTTCAGCGTCAGAGGGTTGAATGGCACGGAGTGTGTGAGTACGTCCAAGTGGCGCAGGGATTGACGATGTTGAGAACAGGAATGCGCGTCCCCAGATTTGCTCCACGTCCACTGCCTCCCAGCCTCACAGCTCCTTTACACAGGGCCCCAGCCACTGCTGCGGTCGCTCCCTCTCCCACCACCCCAGCCGTCCTGGCCGCCCCCAGGGGAGGGCCAGCTCCCACACATCCTCTCATAGGGCACCACAAACACCCTGGCACTCAGAGCCCATTGCACTGGGCCCATCAAAGC